ATTAAAATTGCCTTAAATTCTTTAACCTAAGACTCCTAATTAGATTTTTTGGCAAATTTAATGTCAGCTCTGGTTCCTCTTTGCCCTCAGTCTTGGAGTTCTTATGCATGTAATTATTACTGTTTTGCTGAAAAAAACCCCAAATATTGTAAGATAACACTTCTGTCACAAGAGTCACTTTTTGTAAAGGTTAGAAAGAAGAATAAAGATTGTTATTAAAGAGATCAGCATTGAATGGGACTATGAAGTCACATTAAACTTTGAAAGAATCTTAAATAATTTGCAATTTTAACAGAAGACAACAAGTGTACATTAAATTAAAATACCATATTAGCACAATGGAAAGATAGATCAGTGTAGCAGCGGCTACATACTGTGACCAAAGGGATAAAAAATGCTTACCTTGGGAAACTGGGAGATTATTCTTCCTCTGCTCACTGGGGGAACCAAATGCATTAGGCTGGACTTCATTCTCCAAGTTCAGTTAAATTTGACAAGTCTGAAAATACATAAAGAGAAACACAGTATTCAGGAATTGCCTCAATACAGGGACAATATGATAAAGACTAACCAAGTTCTGGCAGACTCGTCTTTTTTTTTTTTTTTTTTTTTTTTTTTTTTTTCAACACAGCTGAAAGAAAGTTGAAGAATTGGTGGTTCTGCAACTCAGTTTGCATGGAGGGAAAGCTGCTTCTCATGTAAACAGGACCACCTCAGTGTACATAGCTGTAGTAGCCAACAGTGTCCTTCTGAAACTACAAGGCACCAACTCTAATTCCCTGGGAGGGCAGAGAATTGCTCACTTAATTTAACCCAAGTGCTTGCAGTTTAGCCCTCAAAGGATTCTGCAGTGTTTAATTTAAAAATCTTGCTCATCATTGTTTCAAATGCTTCTGCACTAAGTGCATTAATTAATGTTAGGGGATCCCAGATTTCATGTGGTCAGAAGAAGGGAGGAAAGATGAAGCTGCCACATTTCTTGGCACAACATCAGACTTTCATGCAAGATCATCTCAGAAAAAATGAAATCTGTCTGACATGGGAAAAGAATAATGCTCACAAGAAAATCACAAATGCATTCAGATGTCTCACCTGAGATACATCAATTTGGTTATGTAAGGAAACCTCGTGGGCTGATGGGGGAGGGGACCCTTATTAGGGTACAGATTTCTTACTGGCATTCAAAAGAACATTTCTAATGGGAGCATTTTCATCCTGTAGCAAAGTGTAAGGAAGGACTCACCGAGCAGCAGCTGATGCAGCAGGATTCCAGCCGCACAAGCAGCCCAGCCCCTGCTACGTGGCCATAGCAACAGGTTTGCAACAATTCCCTTCCTCCTCTTCTTCCACAGACCGGGAAGGCGGAGATGGAGTAATTTAACTATACACAGAGCAATAGTTTTAAAACAACAAACTCGTTTTAGTGGTCATACAGATTCCTTTGATCAGAAACTGCTCCTCAATAAACTAAATGGTCCCTAATCCTGGATAAGGAAACAGTTACATTTTCTTCAAAGATGATTGTATATATGGATACAAAGAGCAGGATTAACCTATTAGACAAGGAACCAATGGAGTGGGGAACAGTCACAGTGCTAATATTAAGCATAGCAGCAATTATAAAGAAACTCCCAAGGGATCTTTTCAGCATTTCAACTTGATTTCATCTCAGCTTTAAAGTCAGAATGCGCATGCCACTAATGAGACATTCTGAATTATATAAATATCTTTCTACTCATTAATAATCTTGCTTTCTAATGTAAAAAACACCAAAGACAAGGAATAAGAAATTATACAGCCATTTTGCATTACCTAGGTATTGTCAATTTACTCAATAATTGAGACAGCATTTAGTAAGCCAGAGTGCAACTTAGGATGCTAAAAGATTTTGCTTATGTATTTTATTAGGATTTAAATTTTTAACTTTCAGGAGAAAACAAAGGTGTTCCATTCTAACAGTTGTATTTTGATAAAGCAGGAAGAGATTTTGAACCAGAAGACAAGCATTTCCCACTTCTGCAGCAGACTAAAAATGTTAAAGTGTGCATCAAAGTAGACTAGTAATTTTAAACAAGCAAGTACAGAAGAAAAAACCCTAGAGTTGTGTTTTACAAGCACGCACATAAAGAATAATGCTTTAGAAAATAACTACTTAGAAATAATGTTTTATTTTCTTCCATGAGGAATTGCTTTTAAATCCCTTCAGGCACAAATATGATCTCAACTGTACCAAGACAGCCACTTTCCCACAAAGAACCCAGATTTGTAGCTGATGGGTTATTCACCAAAGAAGGTGACTGTACAGTATTTATCTATTTACCATATGGAGAGTTCTACTTACGCTACTTGCGACCATATAAAACTCAAGAGATCTAGACCCTTGTTTTGCTGTGCTCCTGCCCTTCTGGCCAGCTTGAATATGGCAATATTAATGTCTTAATTAATGTCAGAACCATTAGTATAGTTCTGAAAACAAGAACTCCATGAGTTGGTAAGGGTTTCAAATACTAATTTGCTTTCTGCATGTTCTAGTCGTAGTTCAAAACCTCCTAAGCATGGTAAACACCTGTCATGTATACACAGACTGACTCACTGCTCCTCTCCTAGAGCTCTTTTACAAACTAAACTACAAAAACCACAAGTCAACCATCTCAGTAAATGCAAAGGACAGGAGGGACCAAGGCAACCACAAAGATATATTTCAAAATTCAGAGGTCATCTTCACTTACACTTAATGTATTTAATCTAAATCTCACATACACATAAGCATATCCAGACTTACCATATCAAGAAATAAGACACACCATTACAGGAGAAGAATTTAAGAAATAAAAAGCTGCTAAAAATACTGAGAATGATGCATATTTTCTCTTCTTAAAGAGCTGAAAGGGAATTCAGTCACCAGGGAGGGATGAGAACAGTGTCTCCATGGTGTTACAGTCCTCCCTATTTCAACACTGCAGGAACAGTAGTGCCAGCAACTTCTGTGGATAGACAAAAGATGTGAGGCATTCAGAAGGCATACATAAAATAAGTTAATGTCATGACTACTAACCAAGATAAAGTGAAGTACAAGACAGAACAACTCACACCAAAAGCAGAGGTAACACTGAGGACCAAGTCTCTGATTTGGTCCTGTTCTTTTGACGCTGAGAAAAGTTCATGTTCTTCCTATGGATATGAGGTGAACTTTTACAAGTACATAGCTAGTGGAAGTTTAATCTAATTCAGGTAAATCACCTGTAAAGTAAATAATCATCTCTAAAATGTTGCAGAAAAATAAATCCTTTCATTTTTAAAGTAGCAATTTTTCTTTTATGGATTTGGAAGATCAACAAACCAAAATCTATTCCTGTGATGCATTTTAATCCGGCTGATCAGAATTACTTTGGATTTGTAAAATTCTAAACTTTGATTATTACAATTGTTACTCAGACATAATGAAAAATATCTCAACGACTTCACTATCTGCACTATCTTTTTATAGCACAAGCTGTTCAGAGTTCTTTCCGTGATGCCAGATAACATCTGACAATCCAGAACTGTGATAAATTGTGCCACAACATTGCAATGATCCTTTCTTCCTGTGTACCTTCCCCTGAAGTACTAAGTAATAATGGAAACCCTTACTACATATTCTAACTGTTCATAGTGACATTCTGGAGAAGATTAGGAAAGAAAACCTAGTCCAAATCTACTGCGCTCCCTTCAGCCCTTGTACCCCAAGGCACTTGCCGGCTGTATTTCTGCCCCTTAACTCCACCACCATTTTGCTCGCTCTGAATTTTTCTAAATTTTGTTCAAGTAAAACTACTTTGAAAACAAGGGGCGAGGACAGAGCCTGCACACCGAGGCAGAACGGCCGCCACTCCGGGACCTCACGGCGGCACCTCCGTCCCCTCACGGCTCGCTCCCCTCACGGCTCCCCTCAGCCCGCCCGCCCCGCGCCCCGCGCCCCGCTGCCAACTACGCCATTGACGTAACCCCCTCGGCGTTGGGCGCTGTCAAACGCGGCGCTCACGCTGGTGACGCAGCCGGACCCGGGGCTCGGCGGCGTTGGTCGCTATTCACGAAGAGGCGCGTACGCAAAGAGCGGGCGCTGTGGCAACCAGGGCACGCGCGCGCTGCCGGCGGCCGGCGCTGAGGGGCGGCAGCCGGGGCTCGGTAATGGCACACGGCGCCTTCGATTATTTAGTAATTTCGTTTGCCTTGAAGGGAGAAGGGGAGTTGTTTAGACGCTGTTTTAACGTTTGGTTTTGGTGTTAGCCGTTTTCAATATTGGAGGTTGTAGTGTTCAATCAGCTGAGGCGCTTTCCGTACTGAGGGAAGGGCGGTGAGGGGGAGGCAGCCCTCACGTATTCTATCAAACGTTACCGAATTTTGAGGGCAGGTTTTAACCAGATCCCTGTAAAATGCGCTCTTTTTTTTATTATTTTTTCCCTTTGGGAAAGAAAAGGTATTTCGTTTTCCTTTGCTTTAATTTTATTATTTTGAGTCCCCTCTGATTTTGGGCACTGGGCTGCTTCACTTGAATCCTTTAAAAAGCATTCTGTCTATCAATTTTAACATCTTCCTTGAAATTTTAAGCTTTCTATCTTCTCTCTTTTCTTTACAGTGTTCAGTGAGAATTAAACCAGATTAAGACAATTCAGCAGATGAACACACATTAGTGCTGATGATGCACGAGTCCAGCCTCTTTCGCAGCTTCTTGACAGTGTATGTTTGCTAAAAGAGCTCCTTGGGAACACAGAGCACTGTTTAAAGTCAGTAGGTGTCTTTATGGTACATTATCTGCCCAGTCAGCAAGTACAGCCATTTTGAACTATTTTTACGGATAGGGAGACTCTTTCTCAGGAAGATTTGGGATGGCACAACCTCGTATCTCAGCCTACCTCCCCCCTGATATAGACCCCACCAAAGCTGCTCTGGCCTTTGGGAGGAGAGCCCTTCCTAAACTGAATGAGGAGTTGCAGTCTGCTGAGCTGCTGACGCAGCAGCGGGCGCTGATGGCTCTCTGCGATCTGGTCCACGACCCAGAAAAAGTCTACCAGGCAATAGCATTAGGTAAGTGGTCTGTTCTCACTAGAAATGACACACTGGAGCAGGCTGAGGGGGCAACTCCACTTTCTTCCATTACTTTTTCCTTACAATATCTTTGATGATGCAAGATACCCAGGAAAATTTTCTATTGTAAATGCAGGTGAACCCATGGGAAGAAATGGTGATGTCTGACTCAATTCAGAAGGCTGAATGATTTCTTTATTATAACTATGCTAAAATACATTAATATACTATATAAAAAGGAAGATACTAAAACTACATACTACTTTCTCTATCTCTAACACAACTTGTGACCCTTTCCTGAGAGTCCAGCCACAGGTGGGTTGGATTGGCCATCAAACTCAAAAAATCCTCACCAGAATCCAATCAAGCACTCATTCCAGGTAAACAATTCTCCAAACACATTCTACATAGGAAAAACAAGGAGCAGGAATAGAAATTGTTTTCTCTTTCATTTCTCTCTGTGCACCTCCATGAAAAATCCTGAGAGTGAGAGAAACGTGCTTGCCACAAATTTCCTATTTGTTTTACTGTAAAATCACCTTAGAAAGGTAAAGAATGTTATAATACCATATACATGACAGTTATTATGAGAATTATCATCACTTTAGGATTCATCACTGGATCACTGTAAGTTTTATCAACTCCTAAATACAAAAGTAGCGCAGAATCTTTCTTTCCATAAAATCAAAGAATTGTTAAAGTTGGGAAAGACCTCTGAGATAATCCAGTTCAACTGTTAACTCTGCCCTGCCATGATCCCCACTAAACCATGTCCCCAGACTTTATTCTGATTTTAGCTAATTCCTAACATAGGCTAATAAAAAACCTCCTACCTAATTGGTTCAAAGTTAGAACCCCTTCACCATCATCACCCACTCACCTGGAACTTAATGAGAAATTAGAAAAGAAAGGAATATAACCAAATTTATCTTACTCATCAGGACTACATCTGGCCACAACTTTGTGAAAGCCTGGAAGAATCTTGAGTATTGATTTTGTGGGGGGGAAAACCCCTAACCACAAGCTCATTTTTGCAATTTTTAGCAGTCTGTGGTATATCTACATGGCTCATTGTATAACACAGAAAAAAAAAAATCTTTGTTTGCTATTGCTTTTTTCTCCATTTACTTCCTTTGTACTCTTTTCCTAGTCATGTTCAAAATTTATTAAGTTAGTGTTTGATGATCAGTTGATTGCCAAAGCAATGTGAGATTGTTGTTAGTTTGGGGTTGTTAGGTTTTTTGGCTTTGGTGAGTGCCATATGTGCATACACAACCATTAATGGTTCACCACATTTATTTCGGTTCAAAAAAGAGAAGTGAGTGTCAATCCTGCAAAAAACATGCTTTTCTAAAGACATCAATATCTCTACTGACTTATTTTTAGAGTTATGTCACTTTATATTTGCAGGATTAGGATTTAACTTGAAAAGGAGTCAGGAGCTTGTTTGTAGCGTGACATTTTTGGCAGTAGGCCTTGAAATTTGGAAGTTTCTTCCTTACTTGAAATATGACAATGAGAATTTCACTGTCAGGACAAGCTCAAAATCCTGAGGCACTTCAAATTGTGAGATAAATGATGAATATTGCTATTTAAAATTAATGCTGGAAGTAAGAAATGTTAACATGAATTCTGATGTCTCATAGGATTCTTGGCTAGCCTGAAGACTTTGCTGGTGCATCAAGACCAAACTGTCAGGCAAAAAACAACAGAAGTTCTCTCTATAATGGCTTTGCATAGTATTGGCAGGTAGGTGCAATCCCAAAGTTTACTGAACTGTGAGGGAAGTGATTTTTCAGTGAGAAATCAGAACTGAGCTCCTAAGTTTTGTCATACAGATGCAGCATAAAGAAGAGCAGTGAGTGAGGATTAAATATCTCAAACATATGCAAGTTTTATTATGTTGTGCTAAATCTGTCCTCCATTGTTGGTTTTAGGGAAGGGCTAATACGAAGTGGAGTCATTTCTGCCCTCGCCGGGCTCCTGGATGATCCAGTAGATATCTGTCGGAAGAACACCCATCAGATTTTTGACATGCTGGCAAAATTACCTGAAGGTAGGAGGTTTTAAGCAGTTAAGTACTCACATAGACAACGCAGAGCAGAAATCAGGTAAATTCACCTATGTTCCAAATTTAATTTATTCCATTTCCCTTGAAACTAATATTTTAAACCAGTATCTTGTCTATTTTTGCTTATGTTAGTTTTCTTTAGTTAAATTTATTAGGTTTTATGCATGTTAAGGCCACCTCCTCAAGATAGAGTGCCCTGCATGCTTGAATTGGTATTTCATAATCTTGTATCAAAATTTCACTTATTCCCTTCTGTTCAAAGTCTGGATCAGCTGTTCATCACAGTGCATTTGTTTCATAAGTGTTTTAATCTGAACATTAGTCTTAAACTTCTCTTCCAGTTGATAAAAATTATGCTTTTAAAAACAAAATTTCAGTAGAAATTATCAGTTAAAAAGCCATGCTGTTTAAATTCATAGCAAAGTATATTGTCTGAGAAATTCCGTTTCATTACTGATGCTTAAAAAGAATTAAATGAAAGCTTAGAGCCTTACTAATTGTACATGAATTCTGAAAAATCTAAAGATGTATTTTTTACTTACAAGCAATCCTTTTGAAAATCTTCAATAATATGAAGGATATTAATAACGTTGGACTAAACAACTTTGTGAAGATCAGTATGGAAAAGTCTGTAAAAGCAGCTCTGAGTAATTGCTCTTGGAAAAGGTGTTTTTTTGAGTCATGTATTCTGTTTATTTAGATAAAAATATAATGTATCTATAAAAATATACATGCCTGTATACATGCTGGAAGATAAATCCTGGAGCAGAATTGTGTCAGTGTAGAATAGACTCACATACAGAGGGCAATTTAAAAGGAAAACGAAAAGGTGCAAAACTTTTTGCTGTGAGGCAATTCGGGGAAGTATCAGGGCCAACCACAAATATTTTCCAATAAGTAGTAAGAGTCACAAGGCCTGACATCATTCATTTGACACATTACAGATACAGAAATAGTCTCTTCTTGGTAATTCAGCCCTTTTCAGTTAGCCAAGAAACTGTCTTTCTCTTTGCATTCACTTCTACATCTCACATCCAGAAAATGGGATAGGGTGTTGTCCTAGGGTAACAGATGTACCTTGGATCAGCTGGAGGAGGTCAGCAACTGCAGCACTCCTCAGCACTCCTCAGCTCTATTTGTGCTGTTCTCTAGAGCTGAGGTAATTTGCAGGGCCAATAAAGCAACATGTTCTGTGCTAGACAAAAAGGAACAGAAACTGTACATGCCCTTGGCATGAAGTGTAGCTGTTTTAACTGGGAAGTGGTCAGTGACTCCAGCTAGCTCTATGCCAGGACACCTGGTCTTTCTCCAAACAGGAATAATTTTGGAAAATGTGGTTATTTTGAGCAAATCCACTTTCCAAGTATTTTTGATTCCTAAATATAAGGATGTGTACCAGTATCTTCCAGGAACTGTGGGATAGTTAAAAACGAAAAGGTGGGAGAATGCACAAAGACTGGGAGAACACTGAAGAGTAACATTTCCAGAATAAACAACAACTTAGTAAAAAAAAAATAATGGGCAGAAGAAAGACAAAAATAGATAGATATATGTGTTCAGTAGGATAGAAGATAGAAGAGGGAGAAGGGCCAGCAGGAGGAGAAAATTAGGAATATTAAAGAAATTAATATAAAAACTTCCTATCTTTATAAAAACAATTAGTTGACATATATAATAGTTGATAATGTTAGTGAAAGGGTGTTATGCAATGATGAATGACCTTGGAAATAGCAACTGCAGAAATAGTTCTAGGAAAAAATATCTTTTATTATGGTGTGATTAACACTTGCCCATTACCTATCCTGCCATTTATGGGTACTTAATCCTTTCAGGCAAAGATTGAGGTGGAATGGATGGGGCAATGGATTTTTAAGCTTGCCAGAACCTCTATTTGGGAAGAGCCCAAGAGATAATATTTTCTCCTACACTGCTGACTCTTAGTGTCTCCATTCTTTCACCCTTGAAAAATCATAGTCAATTGAATGTGTGGATAAGGACTCTTTAAGGATACATTTTTCCCTTGTTTTGCTGTATGGAGTGCAAATGCTGAAAAGACAGATGGCATTCTTACTGCAGCAGATGGGACATCTCTTCTGTGAATGTCATTGTTGTCCAGGTGAAGTGAAATCCCAGCTGTATTAATGCAGCTCTTTCAGGTGGCAGTGCACTACATCACTGATAAAAATGAGAACTGAGAAAATAGATGCAAATGTATTGCATGATTTATCCAGGTGGATGACTAAGAGTCAAGGGATTTAATTTCAGCACCTGTCTTCAGCCAACAGACTTTTTCGTTCTAGCTTTGATATGCCTCAATTTTCTTATACAATCAGAATTTTTTGTACAGAAAACTCTGTAGAAAACATAATTTATTTTAATATCTTGAATTCTTCAGAGAGAAAACAGAGTAACCATGAATTACTCAGAATACTAAAATCAAAAACATCATAGGAATTGAATTATTAGAGAGTTAATAGCAAGAAATTGCTATTCAGAAAACATAATTATGTGACTTGATTATTTAAACATAAATATTTACTTCTTTGTTCCTCCCCATGCCTCTGATTTTAAGTCAAGTAGGAGCACAGGTGGTGCTTCACTTTCATTTCTCCTTTCCAAGATAGCTTTCTCTCAATGAGGAGTGGAACTGGCTGCTTTCCTTTAGAAATCCTCTTGGGCCATTGTTAAAATGTCCTAGGTTCTCCTCTTTGTCATCTCTAATACTTATGGTAGAAAGACCTTCTTAGTTTAATAAAGATTTGCTTTTTAATATAAAGTGTTGGTTACCCTCCTGATAATTGACTACACTTTTGGTTTTATCCAGCTTTCTTACTTTGAAGCTATGCTGCAATGAATGCTGGTGTTTTCTCGTCTCCTCTTTCAGTAATCTGAATAGGCCACAGTCCAATGAAAGAAAGAGGTGAAGGAGACACAACATCTAGTAGGCCATTCATTGGAAAAGGGAGCCTTGACTCACTTCCCACATTTTCCACAATTTAGCCAACTAATAATTGGATATTACATGTAAAAAGGCAAATTAGACTAGAAATACTGCACAATTTCCCAGGTAAATGATAGCAATTTAATAGTATACAAAGTTTAGAGGAACTTGTACCAGCAATTACTGTGTACAGATTTAGTTTTTACAGATTCGTAAACTTGCCAAGCCAAGCAGTCTGAGTGCAAATATCCCAAGCAGGCAGCAGCTCTTCACTACAAGTGAGACCTAAAAACTCTTTGTGTGTCATGATGGACAGATCTCTGTGCATCTTTAGACTCTGAAGGCACAGCTTCATTTGCTCTCTTGCCTCTACTCTCCAGGTGTAACAATTGGCAAGGAATGCTTAAAGGGACCCCATGTCTTCAATACAGGGATAAAATATCTTGTTCAAAATTAGACAGATTAGAAGAAAACTTCACAAGCATTATCCAATTAAGTAACTGTTGTAACACTACTTAATGAACACACTATAGACACATTCAGTATCATTTGAATGATTTATTTTTGAAGTGGACAATTTAAATGTTGATGTTATTAACCATTTTGTTTTAATTTTCTTAGAGCCCTTGGCTGAGATTTCTTGCACTAATCATAGTACATAAGGGGAACAAAAGTAGAAGGTGATTTTCCAGTGTGCATGTGTGTCTGTGTCTCTGTGTACGTATGTGCTTTACAGTTATCAAACATTTATTTACACACCAACTTTACACTGATGTCTTTAAGAAGTCTTTTCTATGGCAGGGGAAAGAACCAAAGACTCAGGTCTATATAATCCATATGAGATTTTCCAGTGTAGTCCCACAGAGCTTCTTATGCATTCTTTTGCAGGAATGTTATCCAGTAGTGTTTCTTTATGAGATGAAACCTGGAGCTGAGGATTGCATCTCTTCAGTTTCCTTAACTTCACTAAACTGTAAATAATTTAAATTATTAAATTGAAATAACAAGACATTTAGTTATTGTTCATATCGCTCATCTTTAACCTTCTAATAACACATCACATTTAAAAAATAATTTTAAAAACCAACAAAAAAAGACTTTTGAGGTTATACACTACACAATCTCCATGGCTCCTGCTTCTTGGGAAATCTGTTATAATATTACAATACCCAGAAGGTATTTGGAGCAGTGGAACAGAATTGTCCGTTGGCAACTTTCACATTCAGCAATCCAGACACTACAACAATAATTTAAAAAATTGCTTTGTGATTTATTTTTTAAATCTGTATTAAAAAAGGAACACTAACCTATTTCTTAAATATAATTTGGTTTTTCATGAAACACCACAAGATTTGGCAAAAAAAGATGTAAAAGAAGACTGTTTTGATGTATAAAACTCCTTAACAGTAGAAGAAACACCGACCTTAATTTGGCCTATTCAAAGATTCATTTCATATAGTTTTGCTGCATATTTGAAGCCATAAAGAGCAGAAAGAGCTGCTAGTCAGTTAGGAACTCACAAAACAGTTGCGCACCAACAATTCCTTTAATAGGCAAGGTGTCCATGAGAAACAGTAAAGTAAAGCAGAGGTGTGTACATAGTATATGCTGAGAGTCATGTGCATGTGCATACATGATGGATGTGTACATACCCTTGACTGTGGATACCAATATTGTGGGTGCATGCCCACTCTCTACAGATTTAAGTAGTATTTTGCTTAAACACTCTCATTCAGTAGGTTCTGGTTTGAACTAGCTTTTCTCCCCGACACAAGCATTCTGCTCCCCACCCTGCAAACAAGTTCATCTATCACTCACCAGATTTATATTTTTACGTCAATAAAATTTTAGGACAACTGGGTGAAGAGTAATTTCTTACACAGAACATGATAACACTCCCACTGTAGGAAATGGAATGAAACAAATGGAATAAAAGTGCAGTGACTGTGGTGAAACATCTCCACAGAGTTTGGCCTCAATCTCTTTTATTTTTGTTTTTGTCTGGGGTTTTTGGTTGGGTTTTTTTTTTCACTGGGGGTGTTTGGTTTTCTTGGAGAGGAGGCTCTCACTCTCCAGAACATATATTTGGGGAAAATGATGTAGCAGGTTAAGGGGGCATAAGAGGAACTGTGTTCATATATCAGATTT